GACAGTGTGCTCTGTGACTGCTGGACTCCAGGGACAAACCCTTACTGGCACTCCACTTCAATGCCTCTTTCTCTCAAAGAGGAAGTCAGTTTTGCAAGGTGGATACAATCTAATGAGCAAAAGAAACTGAGTGAGATACTTATATAGAAATATCAGACAGCCCACTGGTTTCTTTAAGAAATAATATCTCTAAACCAAGTCTTACCGAAGTTTCCCAAAAGGTGCCAACAAAACGCCCCTGATAACCCACACACCGACAGGCAGGTGGTTCCTACAGTGACTGTGCTGTGAGCCTAAGTCACACTGACGGACTTTCACAGCAAGTCTTCGCCTCTAGAGTTTTCAATTCTACGGACATGTTGAAGTACTCAGCCTAGCATGCAGGCACACCATGGGTCAAATCACAGTCCCTCCAATACATGGTAAAATACAGTTCCTGAGAATGAGCAAACACAGCAAGTCCACAAGAGTGAAATGTGAGCCACCTAGCAACCCAGCAGAAGGGGAGCCCTAAGGCAAGCAGGAGTCACTATGGACTGAATGAAATGTTTAGACCAAACCCATCTGCAGTGACAGAGAACTCCCACCAGATGGAGTGAAGAGATTCAAGCTTCCTTTCACATTCTTGTTCTTCTACTCTTAATTATTTTACATTTGCCCTGATTGACAGGCCGTGGCTACCTATTTTCTCAAAATCACAACTGGTTTGTTTCTTATAAAGCAAACAGCAGGAAGAAAATAAATGAAAATAAACCGTTTAGTTTTGTTGTTAGGAGCGTGCTCTGAGCTGAAGAGATGGGTCTATAGTGAAATCGCTTGCAGCACAACCAGGAAGCGTTCAGACCCTAACACCAGGCAGCTGTGTGTGTCTCCCATAGTAACACACAGGCCTAGACCCGTAACCCCAGCATTGAGGGGTGCAGAGAGGAGAATCTCTGAGGCTTGCACAGTTCAAAACAAAACAACAAAAGCAAACCCACCAAGTTCTGGGTTCAGATAGAGTTCTGGCCTCAAAAGGAATACGGTGGGGAATTAAAGAAGTCATCTGATGCCCTTTGCTCTCTGTGTGTGCCCAGAAACTGTACACAAAGAGTTGAAAAGCAGTTTCTAAGAAAGAGAGAAAGAGGGAAAGCAAGCAAGAAGCAAGCTGGTTCACTCAATGTAAAGCACAAACCCAGACTTAAAACTCTCACTGAGCTGGGGGTGGCGGTGGGGATGACCAACTTCTCCAGGAATCTCAACTTGGAGAATCCCACTGCCTTCAGAAGGGCGCCTGAATTTCCTTTTTCCAAGCCACCACCAATACATTTATTTGCGGTACAGAGTTAACTCCTTGGCCACGACTCCAAAGAGGTAGCCAGATCTGGCAGGGACTAAGGTGATAAAAATCTGTGAGTCATCTGACCCACATATAGCGCTGGGACCATGAAGGTAGTAGAAGAGTTTTATTTCAGAACCACGAAGGCAGAGCCTACAGCTATCCAAAAGTTCCACACAGGCCTAGACTCAAAGGTGCTTCCTTATAAAGCTGAGGATGAAGCCTGCTTCTAGGCTGCAAGGGCTGGCTGGGGCAGTGGTGACTCAACCCACTGGGGCAGGACCCCATCCCATCTCATAGTGTCTTAGTGGTTCTCAACTCTATCACCATTCCATCTCCAAAGAAGCACTAAGAACTGGTGGCTGGCGTGAAATGCACTCTAAGGACAGCCTTGTTTGTCCAGGGAGTCCTACTCTGCAGTTCCTCAGGGAACCCCTGACTCACTTCTAACTGATAAATGACCGCGAAGATGGAAAGTCACTGACGTTAACATTACCTGGTCACTGACTGGCCATATGTAAGACTGTAATACAACTTAGACAGCTAAAAAAGGGCATCTCCAAATCTATTTCACATGTCTTCCTGCCCTGAGTCTTACAGGCACTCAGTGTATCAAAACCCTGCTCTCCTTTTTCAGATATCAGGGAAGCCTATCAGACTGGCCCTTCCTCCTCACCCTGCTCGCCCCCCAGACTATTTAGGAAGGGCTCTCTATGGGACAGAGCACTCCTTCCATCTCTCTCATGTGTGCCTCAATGACTTTAGTCATCTCCTGACTGACAGTGAACACTTAAACTGCAGTCTCCAGTCCTAGGTTTCAAGACCTGTCACACTACAGAGAGAGTCAGGTCAAAGGGCATGCACAGTGGTGATTTCGATACATCAGTTCTACGGATTCTCGCACTTGGCCATAGGTCAAATACGAGAATGTTTCCTGACAAATCCCACTGTGGTCAAACTGATAACAGATGAATGTTTATTCCAGTTAAAAACTGTTGCTGGCACAGGCTCATCTTAATGGTACCTCCCCCTTTCTTTCCTGCTCTTCCCTACCATACAATCACCACAGGCATAGTGCAGACGCCTAAGGAACATGCTAACAGCAGGACTCCTCCTGAGGTCCAATTTCTATGCAGAAAAGACAGACACATGAACCAAGACTGACGTGAGAGAGCGATGCGGGCAGGAAACAGGTGTAATACACAGCCCCTTCAACCACGGCAACCCTACCCATCTTTGCCTTCCTGGGCCTGAGTCCTTGGTGACCCTTTGTCCCTGCAGCACTGTGGACCTCTACTATTTAGCGAGATCATGGTACTGGGCTGGTCGTATCCAACTGCAAGGCTCCCACTGACCTTGGGAAGCTACCCCACGGCGGAACTGGCAGATGGGAAGTGTGCAGTGACATGCTGCCTGTGACAACACTGCCCTTTTAAAACTGCAAATACCTTCTTTTAAAAGATACTTTTATGTATTTATGTGTATGTGTGAGTACTGTGTCAGTTTATGTGCATCAGCCACTCATGCAGGCCAAAGTGCATCCGACCCCCTGGAAATGGAGTCAGACAGTTGTGAGCCACCTGACGTGGCTGCTGGGAACTGAATCCATGTCCTCTCCAAGAGCAGCAGCTCTCCAGTCCCTCAAGCTGGGTTCTCATGTCAGGTCTGATATCCTACACGATATCAGTTGCACTTTCACTATCAGGGCTAAGAAAGCACACAGACCAAAAGACCCACAGAACCACCTGTGCAGCCTTTGCAGATGCAGGCTCTTCTCACCTGCAAGGCAGCAGAGCAGAAGGCTGCCTTGGCCACACTCTCAGACACTGTCTACTTTTGTCCCAGGACAAGAGCAAAAACTCTTCATGCTCCCAGCAAAGTTGGGCATGTTCTATGCTCTACTGAACCATGAATGTCCAGGTTTAGTTGATACCACCATTCTATTCTGCCTGACCAACACATCACTTCAAACACCAACATATTAATGCTGTTCCCAGGGCACCCAATCCTGGCTTGCCACACTGCTCTCCCACCTTGTCGATGACCAGCTAGCCTGCTGACCAACTCCTCTCACCCTAGACACTTCTCTTCCTTTCACCATTCTTCGACACACAGTAAACAATGGCTAAAAGACACCCCAACAAAAGAGCAGACGCCATCTGAACGATGCTCACTTGAACTGATTGAAACAGCCTCCTTTACATAATTTCAAAGGTGGAAACAGCCTTGAACTGAGGTTAACTTCAAATCGCAGTACAATTAAAAACAAACAAAGCAAACCCCAGGATCATCCCCACTATTCAGTGCCCACACATTCTGTCTAGCCTGGTCACTATCAATTTCAACCCCAGTGTTTCTGATAAAGGTCAGAGACCTGTTTTAGAAGGTTTAACTTTAAATTTCACAGTAAACCTGGACATTTTGTATTTATTTCTGTCCTGCTGAGCTGATAACACTGCTCACTTCAGAAACTACGCACTAAAAAGAGAAATGGTAGAGGACACTGAACACCCTACCCTGTCCATGGTTGGAGCTCACTAGGTTTCCTAGTGGCTGTACCCAGCAGGACTGCATGGGAGGTTGACAGGACCATGGGCCTGGGTACCAGGTGACTGTAACTAGCAAGGGCTGGAGGTCTTTTGTTCCACCCCTCGGCATTATTATAAACAGACCTCTAGAATAAAGTTCTGGGCCGGTGGATAAGGATCCAGGCCCACCCGAGTCTATCCTGTGTTTTCTCTCTGTTTCTCTCCTCTCTATTTCTAACTAAGTGTCTTATCCCTCATTCCTCAAGAGTTCCTGGGGTAAATAAGTGTGGGGGCTAGTCCCCCACAGTCCATGACAAACCAAACCAGGGAGGTACCACAAAGCAGGGGATGATTCTTGGCTATCCTAGCTATAAAATGTGTACAGCTGCACCTGCAGATCAAGAGCTACCTGCATACTCTGTTTTATGTAAAGGCCTGAGTTAGTTTTTACCAACCTTATGAAACCGAAACAAACGAGGGTCTTCACCTGATGTGGGGAGAGGACACTGAGTCACAAGAGGCAGGCACAGATACTTACAATGAGTAAAAATCAAAACAGCTAGCAAGATGGCTCAGTGGGTAAAGGGCCTTGTCACCCAAGTCTGATGACTGAGTTTGACCCCATAACAACCCATGTGTAGGTGGAAGGAGAGAACCAGCTCATGAAAGTTGTCCTCTGACCTCTGTGTGTGCTCTGCAATTGCATTAAACACACACACACAAAATTGAAAAAGCTTAGCAAACAAAATCATCAAAAAAGCATGCTAGCTGGTTAAACGATCATACACCACACGTTTCTAACAAGACTAGCCTTAACTAAGCTAATGAAAACTTATGTAAGGAGGATTTTTACTTTCTTACTCTTACATAGGAAGTATAACAGATCTGTGTGACTTTAAAGCAGCAAACAGAATACTTTTGGAAACATTTCTTGAGCAAACACTGTCCAACATATGCAAGGTACCCTTCCCCTTCTTAAAGGGCCTGCCTACAGCTCAGAAAAGGACCACTTTCTCTTCCTCCAGGGCCTCTGTTGCGTAGACCAGACCTGAGCGCCAGGACTATTTCAGTGTAGAAATGCAGACTATGTAAAGACAGAAAAGAACTTTGAGATGTGAAGGGGACACATCAAGATGCCATCAAATAGTACTCACTGCTGGTTCAACTTGACTTCGATCTGCAATGTCTATGTGGACAATTTCAACAGTTTTCCATGTGTTTGGATCTAAACCATGAACCTGTGAGAAACAGAAAACTTTAGTGTGTTCTTTTTCAGGAAAGCACTCCATTTCCATATGTCATCTTAGCTTGAGTCCCTCAGGGTACAGTATGGGGATGACATTACTATTTCAGTAAGCAGAAGCTGGCCATCTTGAGATCTGGACAGCTTTTACTCTTTGTATCACTCCCCCCAAGAGGGGTGGATTTATGCATGAGAAATCTGTCAGGGCTGTTTTATAGAAGTACTAAGAGGTGATTTTTGTAACAAAATGTATCTTGCCTGTTTAATGCAAATGATAGAAGCACAGTGCTTGGACCCTTAAATGCTATGCTAGCAAAGGTAACATGACAACCAGACTTCAACAAGCCGCACAGCCCCTCATGTTGTGGTGACCCCAACCACAAAATTATTTCACTGCCACTTCATAACTGTAATTTTGCTACTGTTATGAATTGTAATGTAAGTATCTGTGTTTTTAATGGTCTCAGCAGAACCCCGTGAAAGGGTCTTTTGACCTCAAGGTGGTCACAGGTTGAGAACCACTGGGCTAGAGAGACGGCTTAGTGGTTAGGAGCACAAACTGCTCTTGCATAGGGCCAGAGTTCAGGTCCCAGCACCCATGCTGGCTGACTCACAACTAACTTCCTGTAACTCCAGTTGCAAAGGCCTTGGAAGTTTGTGACCTCCTCTGGCACATGCACTCATGTGCACCCACCCCACCAAAAACAAAAAAACATAAAACAATTAAAAACAAGTCTTCTTTAAAAAAGAGAAGGTGCAGACTGCTCTACAGCCTGTTTCCAGTGTGTCAACTTCTTGACACTTGTTACTCGATCATTTCTCAAACCCTGGAACTGCTTTAAAATAATAGGTAAGCCCATTTGAAAGCTAGAAATGGCAGGATAAAGTCACACGGAGTATAAAACATAATTGTTACATATCACTTCATTAGGCCCTTTATTTGAGAGAACTTCTATGAAAAACAGGTGTGTCACATGATCAACTGACAAGCACACAAATTGAAATTTAAGTTCTATGAATGGGCACCAATAACGAAACAGCACAGTGACAGAACAGTGTGACTAAAATTTAGCCCTCCACTAACTCACACTCTAGGATGAGAGCAGGAACCCTGAATGTGGGTGTGCACTGGAAGGCAGCCTGCTGGAGGACTGAGCACACACACTCCTAATGACTTCTAGATGCTGTGTTCCAGAGCTACAGATGCTTCTGAGACCCATGGGGCCAAGGGTGTCAGGGCTTGCCAGATGCCGCCCCAGCTCCTGAGCAAACCTTTGTGGTTATTTCCAGAGTCCTGGCAGGTGTTCTTGAAGCTCAGGCATGAACGAACCTTAACATGCTTATCATAACGTAAGTCAGGAGCTTGGCAACAACATCTTTGCAACAAGTACCTTCTTCTCACTCCTGCCCTCTGCTCATCTCTCTGACATCAATCTGGGGCCCAGACAAGTGAAGTGGAAGCAGACATCAGAGTGATCGGTTCTGCTAAGGACTGCTCTGGTGAGCAGAGGAAAACCACCCCAAACCCCAGGTAAGAATGGGATCTAGCACCAACTGCGAGTGCTGTCACCCATGTCCTCCTTGTTGCAAGTAAGAGAGCTGCTGATAACAGCGATCTCACAAGAGTCCACTCAAGCATCGAGGCGGGACTGATAGAGGAAGCCAATCTGTGTCTAGCTGGCTCGTCTCACCCCAATGGCAGCCATGCTGCCAGGAGCTTGTTTAATCCAGGGTCATCAGGGCACTGAGAAGAGTGGACTGTTTCCAGTAATTCCTACTCCCACAGCCTTCTTCACTCAAGGGCAGAGCTGGTACCACCCTGACGGTGCTGCTAATCAAACCCGGAGCCTTGGACACATGGACCAAGCCCTCCATGAAGCAGCTATACCCGGCCTTCTTAGTGCAGGGTGGAAACTTACATTTTCTAACGTTCCTAAGTCAGGTTTGTGCCATGTTTCGATTTTGATGAAGAAGTCATCTTTCATATATTCATTCTGCAGAGAACACAACAAGAAAGTGATGCCCCCTTCACAGTTCTCTGGGGTCTTTCCCCCGCACAGCACCCCAGTGTGGATGGCTTTCCAAATCCAGAGCCATTGGCTTTCCATTTTGTTTTAGATTCATTTTTATCTTATGTGTATCAGTGTTTTGCCTACATCTATGTATGTGGTCACACATGTCTGGTACCTGCCAAAGTCAGAAGAGGGCATCAGATTCCCTGGAACTTGATTTATGGATGGTTGTGAGCCACCATGTGGGTGCTAGGAACCGAACGTGGGTCCTCTGGAAAAGCAGCCTGTGCTCTTAATAGCCAAGCTGAATCTCCAGCCCCAGCTCCCAGTTTTTAGAGGCTTGATGGGTACAGCAAATGATGTTTTTACATAATTCATGCACTCCCACTTGTGATGCAGCACAGGGGCAGAGAAAAGGCCGTGAGGTTTGCTGAGCAATTCCGTCATTCAAAGCAAGCCGCAAAAGCAAAGCAGAACCAACCAGGAGTGTGAGGCAAGCCTGGGACGCAGGAGGTGGGGACGGCAGGGGGAGGGTACGGGACAGGCCATGAAGCTATGGAGCTTAAGCAAAAAGCGAGCAGCAGTTGGGAATCAGTAGGATGCAAAAACAAAGTTTAGTGTGTGCTACTCACCGTTACAACTGAGGCAGAGAGAAGAGGCGGGCAGCAAAACAGGAAAAACTTCAATTAGATGGAGTCAAAACAGCCCATCCCCGTATTTCTATCTGGTGGACTAAGCTATCCCAAACACACAACACTTAGTAGCTTACGTCTTCAAAATGGTCTCTACACAAGCGACACCGAGAGAGCCTCAATTTAGATTATGGACTACAAAGACAATATGAAGAATAATCTACCTTAATTCAAAGTAATGCTAATAAGAATATCACAAAAGCATAACATCATTTATGAAGATGGTTTGGGAAATCCATCTGGGACATCCTCCTAGAGTGCCGCTGGAGCACACCAAAAGGCACCTCTGGGCACATATGACCTTTACGCTTTCTGTGTTTACTTGTTCACCCCAAAGCCAGCAGTTAGCAGGACTTCCTGAAGGCTGTCCTATCTGGGAATGAACCTGAGGGGTACACAGAGGTCTGAGGAGTAAACCAAGGACTATCTGAGACCCCATAGAAGGCTTTGCTCGGTCTAACCCTCAAGATGGGGGGGGGGGGGGGGGGGGGGGGGCGGGGCAGCAGGTGCAGTGCTGCTGGGGGCCAGCTTACTTGTTCTACAGTAGGGGTAAGCGTTCCAGGCCTTCTCGTGAAACACCAAGGAGCCCTCAGGAGCGATCATCCTTACAAATGCGGGAACTTTGCTGTGAGCAGAAAGACATTGGACACATTTTCAACTGTACAATCATTTTTGTTTCTATCAAAAATGTTATCACATTCTAAATTTGATGAGCTACAGAACACTAACAGTTTATTTCAATCCCAAAATAATCATGTACTAAATTAATGTTAAATTATTAAGAAAGTTTAGCTATATAAGGGGTTACTATTTGTTTTTGGGTTTTTTCTTTGTGTGTGTGTGTGTGTGTGTGTGTATGTTTTATATTTTGGTGGTACTGAGAATGGAACCCAGGGCTTTACGCATGGTAGGCAAGCACTGTACCACTAAGCTTCATCCCCACCCTTTCGTGTGTGTGTGTGTGTGTGTGTGTGTGTGTGTGTGTGTGTGTGTGTGTGTGTACACCACTGTCCATGTGGAGGTCAGCAGGCAAATCTGGTGTTGGTCCTCACCCTCTACCAAGTGTGAATCAACGTCCCCAGAATGAAACCCAGCCAAGCCTACAGACGGCTGCGACCTGGCACTCATGTAGTCAGGCTTCACCACCACAGAAGCACGCCATAAATGCGGGGCTGTGTCTCAACAGCAGTCACCTCAGTACTCAGGAGGCTCAGAAAGGAGTATCTCCATGAGCTTGAAGCTAGCATGGAGTAGAGTGAGACCCTGTCTCATCAAAAATAGCCAGATGTGGTGGCACACGTCTTTAATCCCAGCACTGGGAGACAGAGGCAGGCAGATCTCTGTGAGTTTGAGGCCAGCCCAGTCCACAGAGCAAGTTCCAGGACATCCAGGGCTATGTAGACAGACTCTGACTCAGGAAAAAAAAAAAAAAAAAAAAAAAAAAAAGGAAGGAATTCTGTAAGTTCAAGAAATGGCTGTTGCTAGCTCCCTCAAATATACTCGGAATAGAAAGGTTAAATACATGGCTGACATCTACAAGCTTGTGAAAACTACCCATCAAGAACCCCCCAAAGACAACTAACTGATCCACTCTTATAAAAAGAAAGCACTAGTTGTTAACAAGAAGGAAAACTGGTCTTTTTTTTTTTTTTTTTTTTTTTTTTTTTCCCAGCTTACACAGAAATACCAACAACTTGAACATGCTTATGAACAGAGACTTCTGTAAGGGACATCTCCAGCATACACTACCACAGACTGGATTCAACTCCCAAGCTCCACCTTCCAACCTGTCAACACTTGGCACATTGCTTGGATCTTCTAACTTGGAGTTAGTATTATCTGCCCTGAAGTCACAAAACTTGAAACACAATGTCTATGATGTATCTAGAACACTGAAAGCACCCCCCACCCTCACCCCAGCAGTCGCAAACTGTGGATGCTGATGTTAAACTTTAAACTGGTAGAAAGGGAGGTGCTTTCCACATGCTTTTCTTCATTTAAACATCCCAGGAGCACCATAAGGCAAGTACTGTTTCATCATCTCAGATAGCTAGTAATTAAAACATTAAATCACATAAGCCAAAACTACATCATGCCCCCAATTTCAAGCACTTTAGGTCATTAAATTTCAAACTTATTTATTTAGTAAGACAGAGAACAAACTTCAGTAAGCAAACATGGGAGCCAGGAAGGACTTCTGACTGAATTAAGGGTTAGCAGTGGGTAAGAGCTATTCCTAAACTCAATGCCAGAGGCTAAACAAGCAGATGGGAGAAGCCTCACACCAACCAGAAAGCTGTGCGCACGAAGAGGGAGAGCCCAAAACGCCAGGCCCAAAGGACACGACAGGTACACAGTTGGGGAGTTTCACTATTTGGACAAATTACACCACAGGAAAAAAATATACTTTGAGTACTGAGGCAAGCAACAATCCTAGAACAGATAAAAAGAGGTTCCCATGTGCCTTCATGTCCTGCAAAGAGAACAATGAAGGACGGCCCACTCTGAGCATTTCTTCTTTTCAAACGGCAGGATGACTCGCACCAACTTCAGAAAATAGCAAGTCAGAATAACTGAAAAAAGAAGCTGTCTTAAAGTCAAAGGCAGTTGGGGAGGTAACTCAGTCGGGAGATTCTAGCCATGTAAGTATGAGAACCCACGTTCCATCCCCAGAACCCATGTAAAAAGCCAAGCATGAGCCTGTATTCCCAGCTCAGGGAAGCTGGAGAATGAAGGGTCCCCAAGGCTTGCTGGTCAGCCAGTATAACCTAAAGGGCAAGCTCCAAGTGCATACCTCAGAAAACAGGGTGGGGACTGACAAGATGTCTCAGGGGGTAAAGGTACTTGCCACCAAGCCTGACAACCTTAGTTTGATCCTTAGGGAGAGATTGGATTTCCACAGCTGTCCTCTAACCTCCCATGTGTGCCAAGGCATACATGCACACTCATGAGCATGTGAACATCCATGTACAAGTTCACCTACACATACAATGCACACACCCAAAGAACATCCAGTGTAAACAACACACAGCTGCGAACTAGAACCAACAGTCCTTATGCAATGTGAGGTCCAACAGAGCATAACGCAATACCTATGCATAATTAGGGTATGCTTCATCTCAGAGTATGGGAAATACCTGTCAATGGTTCAGCAAGTCAACTTAGAAAAAAAGGCTGGCAACCCCACCTCCCCCCGTAGATTACATCAGAAACAGTTTATTCTACGTGGTCCAAGAGTGGAAAACTCTAACATCTATAAGCCAGTATGAAACGTGCTGACCCCACAGTGTGCACACTCAAGAAGGCCAGAGGATGCTAAGTGCCTGTCCTATGACCCTCAGCTCATTACTTTGAGCAAGTCTCCCACGAAACCTGGAGCTATACTGGATGCTGCAAGCCCCTGTAATCCTCCCACCTCTGTCCACCACAGTGCTGGGATTACAAGGTGCACACAGCCACATTCAGTTGTTATGCGGGTGCTGGGGATTTGAACTCAGATCCTCATTCTTGCTCAGCAAGCACTATGGCCCACTGAGTCATCATCCCACACCCACTTCCAAAAATTCCTCCATCCTAACCTCAACTGTCTCCTATCACAGTTCCAAAAGACTGCTTCTACCGTTTTAAGTTCCTTTTTTAAAAACTTAAGTTATAAAATTTCCATCTTTGAGCTGGTTGCTCCAAACTTACTATAGTTTTGCACCTAGCATGAGAACATTCACTGGTAATCTGTCTTCATGTGCCTAAGTAAATGACTAAACCTGGGGAAATGTGCACCTGGAAGAAACAAAATGTAATTTAAATTCAGCTTTTAAGAAGAGAAATCTTCATTAGTAGACATTTTCCACATTCTTAACAAGACAACTAGAAGCATGGCTATCATTTTTCCTCTATCTCTTATCTCATTTATCTTAAATAATCTATCTTTTAATTTTCCTCTATCACATTGATTAATAAAAATCACTTTTTCTCCTCTCTCCTCCCCTAAGCACTTAGAGATGGTGACACCTTCTGATGTTCTTAGCAGGCCTCACCTCAGGGTACCCTGTCTAGATCTGGGCTGGTTAAGATGAGAGTTCCCATAGCACAAAGCCTGAGAACGTGGAGGTCCTCTCAGAGGGCATGCCCTTGTCATGCACTTTAAGAATATTCACCTGGGGATCAAAGTCAACTGCAGTGTTTTAGTCTGTGTTGAAAGAAGGCTATACTAAGATCTGATCATAATGGAACAATGGTTATAAACCCATTTGTTCCCAGGCAGGGCAGCTGAAAAACAAAAATGTGACACGTGACTGCAGGTACTTTGGCGTATGCATGTGAATGGTGGCCATAAGATTCCCCAGAGCTGGAGCTGAAGTCACATGCCACTGTGAGCTGCCTGACATGGGTGCTGGGAACTGAACTCAAGTTCTCTGCAAGAACAGTACCTGTACTTACCACTGAGCAGTCTCTCTAGCCCGGGGTAGGCAACTCTGTCACAGAAGAGGAAAACCAAGAGACTTACATGGTTCAAATGACTGTAACTGCCTTGCTGGGGGGCCTGGACGATGAACCAACAGGCAATCCCAGCACAGCTTGCCCTTCCAGGAAGGAAGACAGAAACCAAGACCCATACTGCAGCCCAGCACAGGGCAAGGGCGGAGCACGCTACAGGAGAGAGGGGGCAGCAGGACAGGGAGGCCTGAGCCATGGCAGTTCCTAGCATGGCTAACTGCAGTGACCAAAGGAAGACTATGACAAGACAGGGCTGCCATCGAGGTGTGAGCAGCAGGAGACTAGGCAGGCTGCCCGCCGACAGGCTGGAGCATAAAGTTCATTTTCTGTGTCTATGGAAGCCACGGGAAGCTTTGAGAAGGAGAACAACACAGCCTGGGTCAAGTTTTAAGATTACTCTGGCTGTGTGTGGAAAATTAAACCAAGCCACAGAGTGGCAGAATGAATGGCAGCAAAACCAATCCCAAATGGACAAAGACCTAGTGGTACAGGGTGGCGTGTGCCAGTGACTTGGGTGAGCACAAACAAAACCAGTAACCTGGAAGTTCACTTAGAATAACAATAACAATAAACTGCTCAGACCTCAAAAGGCACTCCCTAGAAAATAGAAATTTAGCCTACAGAATAGGGGAAGACCTGCAAATCACCTCTCTGAAGGGTCCCAGCACACAGAAGTCCTGTACAATAAAGAAAGGCTAGGAATGGCAGTGCAGCTCACAGTTCTAACACTCAAGGAGGCTGAGGCAGGAGGATCACAAGTAAGAGTCTGAGCTACACAAGGAGACTGACAAAAAAGGGGCAAAATGTCTGAACAGTATTTCTTCTTCATACGCAAGTGGCTATATTCAAGAAGCCAAGGAGTCTAGACTTTGTTTACTGTGGGTAAAGTGAAACATCGAATTTCACAAATTTCGTAAAATAAGGTGTTGGTGGTCTCAGCCAAATCTTTAATTCTACTGATGTTAAGTGGGAGCAGGGTACACAGCTTGGCTTAACTAAAGAAGTAAATGCTCTGCATACAAACAAGGAGAGTGGATCACCGTCTAAAACGCTAACCCAACTCTGAAGGGCCTGTCCTGACATCAGCCTCTCCTGGAATCAAGGCCTCACTTGATGCTAAGTGATCTGTGTCCTTCTGTAATGTGGTGTAATGTGGTTATCCGGTGGCTTATCAGCAGTCAGTGTGTTAGTAATGAATCCGAGTCTTTCTTGCTCCCAGGCAGCAGTAGCAGTGGCCCGTTTGGTCTCTGGAGGTAGAGAGGTTTCTGGCATCTCTCATGAAGTTCCATCACTGCTGCCCTCTCTCCCGTCTCCTTTTATGCCTTCCTGTATTTCTACCCAGTTACCATTTCTGGACAGGAGTTGAAGGGCCTGATAAGAGTGGGCACAAAGTCAAGCAGCCCTCACCATCCCGTTAGTCCCCTTCTGCTCCTTTTCGGGGACCTGCACTCACTGGATTCTCAACTGTGTTCCTCAGGCCTGGGACTTCATACTCAGAGCAAGAGAGAAATTAAAAGTCAGAGTAACAAGTCTCTGTCACTTACTGACCACGGCAAGTGTGTATTCCCGTGTCTTCTTACGCAAAACTCATAACCTACGTCTCAGGACTGGTACACAGAAAAGACGTTGTGGGATGACTCTGAATGACCCCTTCAGTAGTAAAGATGCTGCTGTAGGAGACCAAGAACACAGGAAGGCTGCCTCCAGAGACCCGTACTACCAAGCCTGAAAGTTCTACATGCCCAAATAAGCTCTTGAGCAACAGTATCACTTGGAGTGACCGTATTTATAGCTCTCTTCAACTAAGAGTCATTATTTATGGCTGGAGAGTTACCTAAATCAGATGTTTCAAAAATGGTATTTAATAGCCTTCTTTCCAATAAAAGTGAAATCACCCCTATCTCAGCAGGAAGTGATAAACATTCCTAACATTTTAATGACTTTCTAGGCTTTTTATCTGATTAGGTTTTAACAACACAGAACACTATATGAATACCTAGTGGCCCAGTAATAGACCTTTTCTACACAACCAGGAGCTGTTTTTCTAGTATCTGAACCTTTAGATTTCTTTTCCTTTTCTTTTCTTTCTCTCTCTCTCTTTTTTTTTTTTTTGGTTTTTCGAGACAGGGTTTCTCTGTGTAGTTTTGGCATCTTTCCTGGAACTCACTCTGTAGCCCAGGCTGGACTCAAACTCACAGAGTTCTGCCTGCCTCTGCCTCCTGAGTGCTGGGATCAAAGGTGCGCGACCACTGCCCGGCACCTTTAGGTTTCAAACGAAAGGTATTACACATTTATTTCAAGAGGTATCCTGGTTGGTTTTCTGTCAACTAAGGCCTCCTCCAGATTGCCTGCAGGCAAGTCTGTAAGGACGTCTTCTTGATTAATGATTGATGAGGGAGGGCCTTCAGCCCACTAGGGGTAGATGCAACCCAAGTAGGTGGTCCTGGGTGCTACAGGAAAGAAGGCTGAGGAGGGGGGGGGAGACACACGGGACGGGAGGGACGGATGGACGGACGGACGGACGGACGGGGGGGGTGGGGGGGGGGGACGGACACACGACGGGACTGCTGAGTGGCATTCCTCCATGGTCTCTGCCTCAGTTCCTGCCTCCGCTTGCCTCAATGATACACTGTTCCTTGTAAACCAAATGAACCCTTCCTCGCCCAGTTGTTTTTGGTCATGGTGTTTTGTCACAGCAATGGAACAAGCTAATGTTTTCACACTGGAATAGTGATCTATAAAGGGATATCACAGACCAATATAAAACTTTACACATAAGCCCTCTGGCTTATTATAGCGCTCCCAGAAAAGCCCGGTGTTTTCAATAAGGAACTCTAGCTGTTTGTAGAACTGAACTAATGATCAAAAATTATAGTGAAAGAGAGGCTGCAGAAACGGCCCAGTGGGTGAGAGCACGTGCCAGAGTTCAGTTTCCAGCACACACGTCTGATGGATCACTATACCCTGCAACCCTCCTCTGGCCTCCAAAGGCAACTCTACTTTTGCGACACACAACACACACACACACACACACACACACACACACACACACACACACACACACGTACGTGAAAATATAACTTGATAAAAGAAAGTGATGAAAAAATTTAAGCTTAATCACCTAAACTCATCTACAATTTCAAGGTGCTTTAAGAATACAAGTAAGATTTACTTGAATGTACACAGAAGAAAACCGAGATGAGCAGAGATGCCCTCCCAACCTTAACAGACAGGGAGGTGGTCCACAAAATGACTCAGAGCCATCTCTACTCTTGGTATGCACTTCCTACTGAAAAATAGCTAAAGGAAAAGGCATGGATAAGACTCAAGCTCAAGAGGAACACACAAAGAACTTAATAAAACAAAAGAAAACCCACCAGTCAGTCACACAGACCTCCCCACCATCACACATCCAACCACACTCCTGAAAAATCACAAATGGAAACTGGCAAAAATTCAAAACAGAGGAATATGGAAGATTAGTATATGGAAGGACGATTTAAACCGCCGTGGCTTTCCAGCAGATCCTTCTTTGTCCTAAAAGGTACAGCATCTAAGACAACCAGAAAGTATGCTGTAACTACAAAAACCACACTAAACTATCAATTACCTAACACGTGTGAATCTTCATTCCCTACCCTGTAGAGAACAGGTAAATTAACTATGCTAGGCCCACATCAGGGAATTTCACTTGGCTTTACAAGAATCACACAGGGGTTGAGGGCTGCTCAGCTGGTGAAGTTATTATCCTGCAACCACGAGAACCTGACTTCAATCTCCAAAACCACGTCAGCGTGCTGGGGGCACAGTGACCCATACCCACACTCCCAGGGCCAGTCAGTCTAGTATAACTGGTGAGTTCCAGGTCAACACACACCCTACCTCAGAAGAGACCATCATCCTGAGCACAATACTGAGCTGTACTCTGGCCTCCCCCACAAACACTGGTACACACACTTGAGTAAGAACTTACACACCCACACACATTAAAAAAAAAGACTCCTATAGATATTACATAAAAACATGGATGAACTAGGATCTGGAAGGATAAACTCTCAAGTATTTCAAGTGTTTCTCTTCTTAAGGATATTGATGGCAAGGAGTGATATGAATTATGTATTTTTACTTTATGTGTATGAGTGGTTTGCCTGCATGTATGTATGTATGTGCCTGGTACCTATGGTGCTGGATCTCCTGGAACTAGAGTGGCGGACGGCTGTGAGCCACCATGTGAGTTCTGGGAACCAAAGCCAGGTCCTCTACAAGAGCAGCCAGTGCTCCTGACCGCTAACCATCTCTCTCCAGGTTGAGGATGAAGGTTTAATTTTATAGTCCTTCCTACTGTTTGAACTTCTGTTACAGGTAGATGTATCACCTTTATAATTTAGTATAAAACATGAGGGGGCCCACAATAAACTGAAGCACAACACATGGTCACTGTATATCATAGCTCAGCAGGCCTACTCATAAGGAGGCTGCCAGGTAGGTACTGCAGGTCACAGGTGCAAACCCCACTTGCCTCTTCAGGTGGTAAATTTTGTGTGTGTACTGCCCCTTCTCTCCATCCTTCTCATAGGGCTCATTCTTCAGGACTTCGATTCCTTCTCCGCCACCAGTTTCATTCTTACTGGCTTCTGCAACAGAGTAAAGCTGTCCAACCTGATACTGAAATTCCAGAGAGCAGAGTTTTACTAAGTCAATAAGAGCAGCAGAACTTTCCTACGCTAAAACTTTAATAAAGATGATACAGAAAAGTCCAAGCAAACCATTCAGCATGTACTCTCCATGAAAACAGAACTCAAGTGACAAATGCCAGATGATCGAATGATTTCCATTGTTCACAAATAAAAGTTACTAATATTTTACTTGTATAACAACATGTATCAAGAAAATGTCAGCACTTAGATCAACTTTTGAACCATGAACTTGTACCTTGTGAAACATTTTTACTTCTCTTACACCTTAGGAGTATAACCTTAAGGCTGAGCAACCAGCTAGCTCTCTGAGGAATGAAGAGTACATTGTGTGGTAGGAAAAGCCTCAGGACCTTATAGCACAGCTCTGGGATCTCTTCTGTGACTGATGAAGCAAGTGACAATTTGGCCCTTGCTCAGCTGAAAAGACACAGTATTGGGTACCCAAGATCAGGACTTTTCAACAAAATCCTCCAATAAGCACAAACGTTCTGGAAACGTAAGCATGTGAGGATTAGCATGAAAGGCTGGTGAGTGCGAGGTCATTCCTATCTCACGGTGAACCAGGGCTCTCAGGGCTAGGGCAGTTTCCAATGCGTCAGCAGTATTGGACTGTGCTAACAGTCACCATAAGGGGCAAAACTGAGGCTCTTAGGCTCTCAATTGTTCCAGGGACTAATGCCAATCTCTTCAAATTTGATTAAGACAGCTTGAAGCAGCATTTTTCTTCTTTATAAGCTCATTTTCAAAGAAAAGGCACAAAATTTTACCTCTAAGAACTCATAATTCAAAGCTAAAATTATATTTGAGAGAATAAAAGCATCATCAAAAGCTCAGGAAATACTCATGGAAACGCTCACAGGGATGCAACATTATGCTGGCTAACTTAATAGCCCTCACCCCTACCCTGCATGACTCAATTTGATTTGGAGGGGTCTGAAAGGCTGGAACTAAAAAAAGTGCTCCCGAGGAAGGATCTACTTAAGGCTTTGGACTGAGCAGGGCGTGCTGGGCCACACCTTTAATCCCAGCACTCAGGAGGCAGAGACAGGCCAGCCTGGTTTACAAAGACTTCCAGGACAGCCAGGGCCACTACACAGAGAAACCTTGTCTCAAAATCCAAAACAAACAAACAAACAAAAGAATCTGGATGGCCGGGGAGGCTGTTCCCTCTGTTTTCCAACATGTTTCTTGGGTTAGTCTAATGCTAATGTCATAGTCCTTAAAAGTCCTTCAAAATCTCCTTTCAACATGTCAGATTTCCAAACAGGATTAAAATGTCTTTAAAACAGAGGACAAATTTGGTTTCACAAAATCCATGAAGAAACTAAATGGCTAGACTCCCCAAAAGATTAATGAATTGGTAACTTGAAGCATGCTACTAGGTTGTCTCTTGGGTTTTATTTGAAAAACAACTCAGGGTCAGATGTAGTAAGTAGCCCACACCTTTAACCCCAGCACTCAGGAGACATAGACGATTGGATCTCTGCATTTGAGGCCAGCCTGGTCTACAGAGTGAGCTCCAGGACAGGCAGGGCTACACAGAGAAACCCTGTCTCGGAAAAACAAAAATGAGTAACTCAAGACTCAGGGAAGGGGGCATGCTTGTTAAATCTGAGAATAACAACAAGCTGAAAAGATCTGGGGTGACAATATCAAGACTCCAGATTTCAACAAGTTGTTTCAATCAGCTACCCCCCACCCCCCGAAAATAAACCCTACAAAAATAAATGTCAAGTCCCTCCTCTGAGCTCAATTAATCAATTGTACAAACATAGCTGGGCCTGGTGTGCCCAGTGTTCTGAGCACTGTGGTGAAAGCCCTGCCCTGCTCAGTGATGCAGCTGCACTCAAGTCCACACAGGAGAGAGCCACCACTTTTCCTCAGTTCTGCTTTTCCTGCCTTCTGTCATCTGTCACTTCTTAGCTTATCGGTTTGTTTTGTTCAACTTCCAACTCTCTGCTCAGGATCTACTGTCAGCTGGAGAACTACTGTGAGCACGTTCAGAAGGACCCTGGGGGTTACCCTGGCTACACAAGCCAACTTCTCAGACAGCCCCTCTGCTTTGTCTTCCCTGTCCGCCGTCTCCATCATAATCTCACCGTGAGCTGACGGTAAGATCACATCTGGAACACCATTTCAGTGCACAGCAACAGCTACAGCGCATGTAGTGACGAGGCCAGCTGTGTAAAGTCATGAGGTCACATCATATTAGCACAAATGGATGTGCTGGGAATGTTTAACTCTGTGACCTGCTAAAGTGGAACAGAAGGTCTTGGGGGTGGTGAGGCTGGCAGGCAGAGCTACCACCAGAAAAGCTCCAGTGTTACCACAGGCAAGACAGAGAAGGCTTAACTCACACATGTTACAGAAAAGCAAGTTCTGTGGATAGACAAATGTCAGTAGTAAAGGAGGCCACCTTGAGGCTGGAACCTCATTTTTCTGGGACAACGCTGAAACAATTTCTACACTGATTAAACTATTTTCTACAGATTCTTCCAAATGAGACAATATAACAGAAATTTATTTACAATTATCTGTAACACACAATTCATTTTGTCACAAGAACTGGATGGAAAGGCAAATGAAGGCAGACTGCTTGCCTAGCACGTGTGAGGCCCTGGGTCCAAATCCCAGGACTGTACCAAGAGAGAAGACAAAAGCAAATGCATATTACAAAAACAGCATAGATTAACATATCATAAATCATACCAATGAATGCGCAGAACAAAAAAAAAAAACAAAAAACAAAAACAAAAAAAAAACGAAACAAAAAACTTACCTCCTGAACAGAACACGGCAAAACCACACGACTAAAAAGAAAAAGAAAATAATACACATTACATATTGATATGGCTTTAGAACACAGATCTCTAGACTCAATGTAACTTTAATAATTTTTTTTCTTGGTTTTTTGTTTTGTTTTGTTTTTTTCTCGAGACAGGGTTTCTCTATGTAGTCCTGGCTGTCCTGGAACTCACTCTATAGACCAGGATGACCTCAAACAGAGATCCAACTGCCTCTGCCTCCGAGTGCTGGGATTAAAAGCATGCGCCGCCACCACCGCTTGTCTTGGAACTTTATATCTAGTGACACAGTAGACAAGAATGCTATTTACAGGAGAGGGTGTTTATAAGCCTAGGACCCTAAGGTCTCAGCTACAAGACTAAGACTGCCACTGTTGACGTTGGAGGGCTACCAGCCTCACTGCCACAGGACCGAAGATACAGAGGTGTGAGTCCTGTTAGGGTAAGCAAGCATTGACAAAGCTCATCCTCTGTAGAATCTCTGGTCAGGACAATCTCATGAAATTTTTAGTATAGCTGCATTCATCATTTATGTGCTATACATTTTAAAGGTTTACTTTTATGTGTACGAGAGAGCACCCACAAAAGCCAAAAGAGGGCATGGGATCACCTGGCACTACAGGTACAGGAGGTCACAAGCCACCCAACATAGGTCTTCTGAAAGAGCAGTCAGTGCTCTTAGCCATAGAGCTTTCGATAACCCTGTGCCTATTTTTTTTCTGATACTTCTCTCAGAATACAAACATGCCTTGAAGTCCATGAATAAATGTTTCCAGAAAAGTACCTCTACAACCTAATTATTCAAGTTTAGTGAGACAAAAGTAAGTACAGATGCCCATGGAGGCCAGAGTGTGAGTTAGGAGGATGTGAGTGGAGGTAAGGGAGGTCTGAAGGGATTGGGAGCTCCGAGAGGACCCTTGCCCCAAGTCTGATGTTTCTAGGGCCCTGGACAGTGGTTGTGCTTGGCAAACACATGCAAACAAACACACAACTTAAAATAATAAAAACAAATCTTAGAGGATTTGCAAAATGCATAGTGTATAAATTCCTACTCTGGACTAATCTGCCTGAAGACTACTCACCTAACGGTCAAATAGGGCTACTCAACAGTTAATTCTCATTTTGAAAACAAGTAACTAATATATTAAAAACAACTAAACAACTCATGTTTAATCCGGGCTGCAACTCTCTTGTTAGGTGGTCTGGGACAAGTCAATTTCTGTCTGTCTCAGAGTCTCCTTCTGTCTTAATATCTGCCATTAGAATAATAAATGAGGCAATGCTTGCAAGATACATTGAAATTACTTGGAAGAAAGTTTTCACACAGGCTCAAAGTTCAGTGCTATGAATTATGTTTTAAATGCAAATCTTTGCTCTGTGCAGAATGCAAAAGTATGCCTCTTTTCAGGTTCCCCATCACTAACAAGAAGTAGTGATTTTTTTCAGGCCAGACATGGCTCCACAGGCAAAGGCATTTGCCTCCAAGTATGACCTGAATTCCACTGCAGGACCCTAATGGGAGGACAGAACTGACCCCTTCAAGTTGTCCTCTGATCTCGAAAAGCATGCTATGGCACCTGCCTGTACGTGTACACACACACACACACACAAATTTAAATTTTTTCCAAAAAGTAATGTCATCAGTTCATTAGCAAATGTTTGCTGAGGGGCTGAGAGATGGCTCAATGACTAAGAGGACTTGCTGCTCTTTCAAAGTATCTGAGTTCAGTTGACAGACCCACGTAGTGGCTCATTACCCCCTCTCCATTCCCTCTTCTTACCTCCAAGAACACTGCGGAGTATCTTCTAAGTGCTAAAGACTGTTTCTAAGAGCTGGAGGTATCAGAGGGAGTACAGCGCAATGCAGAGAACATGGTCAAAGACAAACAATACAAACTCCTCGAGAAGGTGAGCTAGTGATTGGCGGAAAAAGTATACAGGGCAGCAGAAAGAAAAGGAAACAGACCTGCCCTAAGTTAAACCTGTTTGCAGATCAACAAGGGGTCTTGCGATGCTGTGATGGGCAAGAGAAAATTTAGATATAAGCAGAAAAAAGAATCTGGGCAGTGTTAAGTAGAGGTACTGTGTTAGTGATTTTTTTTTTTACACCGTTGAGATTAACACAAACAAGTTGTCTACACAGCTAAATTAGGGTCTGTCAAAAAAAAAAAAAAGAATCTGAAATGAAATTGGGGTGGGGGAGAAGAGCGACAACAAAATGGGTCATACTTGAAATCCCTAACTGCACAAGGACCACTGGTTCAGGTGTGACAGGCGGAACAGTCCCTGCCACCACAGTTTCCTGTCATGATGTTCACGGCTCTAAGGAGTGGGGAAGCACAACTTTCCAACAAAATAAGTCACGGGGCCAGTCCGATGCACCTGGGGATGTGTTCATTTGCCACGCCATGTGTTTAAGGCAGCATCGTACCCCGGGAAAGCAGGTGGGGCCGGTGTCGCCTCATCTGAAGATCGATGGCAGGGAGATGTTCTAGGGGTCAGGTCCACCGAGCCCGCAGGCGTTCTGGCATGAACTTCGGGCGACCCCTCGCCGGGCACTCCCGGCTCCCATGGGAGCTCCGGCCGCGCCGCCGAGCCTGGGGCGGGCTACGGAGGGCGGCGTCTCCGCACAGGGCCTCGGGGCTCCGGTAAGGGGCTCGCAGGGTCCCGGGAGCGCCCCCGACACTGAGCCAACCGACCCTCCCCAGCTCGCGTCCCCGAGCCTCCCACCAGCCCACCGACCCACTCACAATTCCTTAATCAGCACCATCTTCCGGGAACCCCCTCACAGCTGCCGCCGCCGCCGCCACCGCCGCCACCGCCGGGCCTCTCAGGACGCATGCGCAGCCCGGCCTCCCCAATGGTCTGAGCCCCGGCCGCGCAGGCGCGTCCGCACCCTTCCGCCGCGGGCCATTGCGTCAGCGCGCCTGGGGGCTAGCTCCGCCCAGTCCACGCCCCACCCTCGGCGCACGAGCCCTCCGCTGCGGCTGCGCGGCCCGTTGGCGCGCGCGTGAGGTTGGGTCGGCGCCTGCGCACACTCAGCGAGCGCTGAGGCTGCGTGCTGTCCGACGGCCTCCCACCAGCCTCCGTACCCCAAAGGCTGCTTTCGAGTGAGTTCTCGAGTCCGGGGCACTAGACGGCGTTGTGCTGTGGCTGGTGTTGCTTTCCCTCGCTGCTCGCAGAGGAAGTCCGCCGTCCTGAGAGGCCCCGCGCTTCCGTCGTGCACGTTAGAGACTTCACACAGGTGTGGAAGCCGACGACGCCAGGTTTTGGCGCCTCAGATTTTACAGGAGAGTGTTCCCAGAAACCCAGACCAGTGTTTTAACGCTGATGTGTTCGCCCCCCCCCCCCCGTACTGACTTTAAAAAAACTTTTTTAAAAATGTGTATGGCTGTTTTGCCTTACATGTCTGCTCCATGTGCGTGTCTGATGCCTGTTGAGCCCATAAGAGGGCACTGGATCACGTGGAACTGGAGTTGCAGACAGTTGTGAAATGCCACGCGGGTGCTGGGAACCAAACCCGGGTCCTCTGCCAGAGCAGCCAGTGTTTTTAATAGCTTAGCCCCTGTCCAAACATTTAATCCTCAACAAATGCAAATTTGCACAACAGAGACCCAGTTGGGTTAGACAAATTCTGCCAGCCTGAGGCGTTGGTTTCATCGTTAGGTACTTCCAGGGCACAGAGCTTGTTACAGTAAGAATGAAAGTTAGATTTTACCGTGGCTAATCCGAAGATTCCTGAACACACACACACTGTGTCCATCACGGGCTTTGTACACTAGTACAAATCTGATCAAACAATTTCGAACAATCGCTTGAATACTGCGTTTGTAGATAGCTTTTCCTTCTGACTACCTCCACTCGCTGAGATTCATAACTTGGGATCCAGGGGCCTTTTGGTGGGACTCCCAGGGAACTGGTGAACTGTAGACATGATAGGCATAATTTCATGTCACTTTGCTTACTCTGTACTCTGTCAAACCGTATTTTCCCCTTCCCGAATGATCTTGAGAATATTTTCATGAAAACTGGAAATAGCCCCAAGCATTCTTTAATTTTGTTAAGTATCAGAGCACAGGTCAGCTGTACCGATTTGAGAAACTGGATTGGTCTTGAGAGTAGAAGACCTGGGCCTGAGTCCTGGCTCTTTGACTTCAAGAGACCTTAGGTAAAGAATCTTGCAGCGACTCCATTTACACAACCAAAAATAGGTGATTACCATCTACAACTGACTTATTTTAGAGAATAAAAGAAACGAAAAGGACTAAGGTAGCTCAGATTACAGAGTACTTGCCTAACATGTGCCAGCAGTGAAGTGAGTTCAGTCTTCAACACTACAGCAAAAACAAAATTAGATGAAGCACCTATGTAACATATCACCTGGCTATTAATGTTTTTCAAATGGGAACCATATAAAAACTTCCAGGGACTGGCAACAGTAAATTAAAATATAAAGCCAGAAAGGGGACTGGAGAGATGTTAAGAGTGCTTACTGCTCATGCAGAAGACCCATACCCACATCAGGTGGCTCACAACCACCTGTAACTCCAGCCCCGGGCATCTGAAACCTCTGGTCTTTGAGGGCATGTGCATGAAGGTGTGCATATAAGCATGCACATAAAATTTTTTATTATTAAATAATGTTTTTGCTTATTCTTTGAGAACTTCATACAACTCTTAAGATATAATAACATGACTTTTTCCTACCCTTTTCTATCCCTCCCATATCTGACCACACTCTCCCCTCTCAAAGGCTTTCTCTTATTTAACCATTATTATTAAACATACATAAAAAATGAGCATATAAATACAACTTGTTTATCAATTCAATTTTGCCTGTATGTTTAAGTTTCTAGGACTGACCACTCAGTATTTAGATAGCTAGTCAGGGGACTCATCCCTAGGGAAGACTAATTCTCCCCTTGCTTTGTCTGGAGCCCAGTTGTTAATTGCCCATAGATCTTCAGCTAGGGGTGGGGGTGAGATTTTCCCCATAACCTTGGGATGTCAGATGTCATTGGAATTGTTCTAGTCTTTTTTAGGCAGCCATGTTGTTGAGATTTAGGTGAAGGGACTATCTCACCAGGCCGACTTCCTGGTCCTCTGGCTCTTACGATCTTTCCACCTCCTCTTCTATCATGCTCCCTGAGTATTAAGTGCAAGAATTGTGTTGTAGATGTATCAGCAGGGGCTTGGGCACCCATGGCCAGTGTTCTCTGCATTTTGACCACTTGTGGCTTTCTGTAATGGTCTCCTGCTGCTGCAGAAAAGATTTTTGATGAGGGGTGAGATAGGCATTTATATGCGGGTATAAGGATAAGTATTTAGAATGCAGTTAGGCATGGTGCTGGTTTAGTAAATTGGCAGTTGTAGGTTCTCCTCCAGTATCTATGGCTTCACTAGCCACATGTAATTGGCTGTGTTTCCAGTACCTGACATGATTTCCCTCCTGTTAATCAGGCCTTTCATCCAGTTAGACAGCTTTTGGCTACTGTGTTAGCTGGGATTTTCTAGAGGAACAGAACTGATAGAATATGAATATATATATATATATATATATATATATAATATATATATATATATAGGCTTTATTAGAATGACTTACCAGCTATGGTCTGGCTAGTCCAACAATGGCTGTCTCCCAGAGGAAAGTTCCCAGTAGTGGTTCAGAACATGGGACTGGATATCTCCGCTGGTCTTCAGTATATTTTGGATTCGCGAAGAAGCTCGCTCTAATGCCATTGAAGTGAGAGCCAGAGCAGACATGCAAAGAATGGTTAACTAAATGATCCAGTTAACTGAAATCCCTCACAGGTGTGCCCAGTGACTTGGGTTTTTAGTTAATTACAGGTGTAGTAAAGTTGATAACCAGGAATAGCCATCACAAGTTCACCCCTTATCAACTTGGCACACAATCACATGATTTATGCCATGCTTAATTTCCAAATGAAAATAACCAGGTCATGATTATACCTACCACAATGTAACTATCCACATACAACCACAAATGCATTATATATTTTATAATAGGTAGCAGTGTCCTTTGAGGGACATTTTTTAATATCTCAAAACTTAGTATGATAATCACTGATATTATCTCAATTGATGTTACATTACATGATAAGGAAATTAAGGAAAGAGAGCATAAATATCTCTACAAACACATTATTAACAAAATATGACAGAAACTCTCATGTCAATTGTAATCCTTGTTTCTGCAACTGGTCACATGGCCTTAGCTGGTATTTGTAACTACTTTCCTCTACTACCCATTTTGTATTTCTTCCACCCTTAGCAAGCACCTCACTAGGTCTTAGTTCTTTTCCTGGAGGAGGGACCCATACCTTCATTTCTGAAGGGTCTGTGCCTTTTGTCATCCTGCCTGGATTGAGTTGTAGTTTCCCATTGATTTTAATCAGAGGACATGGTAACACCAAGAGATGTCCTAAAGGATCTCATGCACTCCAGACATAATCTTTCTTACCTCCATTGTGGAGAAGCAATCCAATTTCTCCATGGTAATCGGCATCAATCACTCCTCCTAACACTGTTATTCCTTTCTTAGCCTCTTGGCTAAAGGGCAATTACAATGCCCTCCTTGGCATTGTAATTGTATCTTAAGAGGTCATCCTATTATTCTATAAAGCCAACTGCTTCGGGGTGGTGGGAAACATGGTAAGGCCAGTGGATTTCATGAGCATGGGCCCATTGTTAAAACTTCTCTAGCTGTGAAGTGAGTTCCTTGGTCAGAAGCAGTGCTGTGTGAAATACCATGATGGTGGGTAAGATGTAGGCGGAGTTTTCCTACATATATATGTCCTGACTGCTTGCTCCCAAATAACCAACTGGAGACTTTAGATTATTTATAAATGCTCAGCCAGTAGCTCAGGCTTATTACTAACTAGCTCTTACATTTTAAGTTAACCCATATTTCTTATTTACACTCTGCCACATGGCACATTCATCTCTACTCCCTTTGCATCTGGCTGGCAACTCCAGACTCTGCCCTTCTTCTTCCCATCATTCTCAGTTTGGCTCTTCTGCCTAACATTATCCTGTTTGCTATTGGCCAGTCAGCTTCTTTATTAAATCAATCACAGTGACAAATCTTCACAGTGCACAAAAGGATTATTCCACAGAGTAAGACTTTCTGTAATTCCATGGGTGGTAGTTTTTGGCAGAGGCATCACATGCAGAAAGGCAAACCCATAACCAGAATGAGTATCTACTCCAGTAAGGACAAAGTATTGTCCATTCCATGGAAGAAGTTGTCCAATGTAATAACCTGCTACCAGGTCACTGGGTGATCACCCTGGGAAATAGTGTTGGTCTCAGCTGTTGGCAGATTTGGCACTCAGCAATGGTTGTAGCCAGATCAGCTTTGGTGAGTGGAAGTCCATGATGTTGAGCCCATGCATAACCTTCATCACTGCTACCATGGTCGCTTTGTTTGTGGGCTCACTGGGCAGTGACAGGGAAGTCTAGGGAAAGACACTGACTGTCCACAGATGGGTCACTCCTCCTCTGCTGAAATCACCTTTTGATAATCATTTACACGGGATACAAGTATCTTCACATCCTTTGCCCATCCAAAGAGGTCTATCCACATACTTCTTCCCCAGATGTCTTTCCCACCAATTTTTCAATCATACTATTTCCAAATCCCTGACAATCCAGCCAATCCATTGACTATCTACAGACCATGAATCAGTAAACAATCACAGCTCTGGCCATTTCTCCTTCTAAGCAGAAATGTACAACCACATATACTGCCCACAGTTCTGCCCACTGTGAAGATTTTCCTTCACCAGCATCTCTGAGGGCTGTCCCAGGGGTTGTAATGCTGCAGCTGTGCACTT